GGGGGGGGAAGCCTGTGGGCGCAGAACGCACCTTAGTCGCATTGGACCTCGACAAAAAAGGCGAAACCGGAGACGCGTCGTAGTCGCACGGGACCTTGACAAAAAAGGCAAAACTGGAGACGCGCCGTAGCCGATGCCACCATAGGTCAAGACACCAACAAAAAACGTAGGGCCACAATGAAGAGGCACGCCGTACACGTGGCAGGGCGAAACTGGAGACGCGTCGTACTCGCACGGGACCTTGGCAACAAAAAGGAACGACGCCGCAAGGGGGCACAATACATGAGTTACGGAGGGTCCAGCGTCGTGACAAAAAAAATAAAAAAAGGCCTCGACACTAAAACAGAGAAAACGGACATGCGGGAAAAAAAAAAAAAAGACATCCGACAAAATATATCTGATTAAGGAAGGATATATGTTGTTGTTGTTTTTTCCTTTTCGGGTCGCTCAAGTTAACCCCCCATTTCTTTTTATTTCGGCCTGCGCATCCACAACATCAAGCCTTCCCGATAAACATCAACGTTAACTACTGCGGGCCAGCCCGGCACAAACGGCCGCCATTTGCAACATCATTTCCACGCACTTGTCAACTCCCAGATCCGGGGAAGGTTAAAAAAAAAAAATTCTCCAACATGGACGTGTTGGAATCATGTTGAACATATGTTGATCAACAGTTGAAAACATATAGCCCGCATGTTGACAAACGGTTGAAAACATGCAAACGGCTCATCAAAACGATTGGGCCAACCATTTCACCCTCTTCATATATTGGTCCCAACTTGTGTCGAAGTTGAAACCATGATGAAAATTTGCCACAATTTTTTTGTTGGAGGAGATTAACCCTGACAATTCATCCTCCCGCCGCTGCTCGCAGAACCGCACAGTGTGGCCTACATCGCCACAATGCCAACAGGTGGCATTTTGCCAATCAAAGCGGGGCCTCCCATACCCTTGGCCCCCTTCCTGGCCGCCCCGGCCGCCTTGGTTCTGGCCCCTTTGACTATTCCAACCACCCCCACGACCCCCACCATTTCCTCCCCGGCCTCGGCCTCCACCTCCTCGACCCCCTTGACCTCGGCCTCCATTGCCTTGTCCGCCTTGTCCTTGGTTTCCTCCACCGGCCACGCTAGCCTGCGAGGCCTGTTGGGAGGGAGGTGGTTGGGCCACAAACTGACCCTGGGCCGCAGGATAGCTCGGGGGCCCCATACTTGCCGCTGGGCCTGCATAAGGGACCATTTGTCCGAGGTGAGTTTGACTACCCCCGCACGAGGTGCAGTGATTACAACTGGGCCAGGATGCAGGCTGACAATGCGGCACCCAGTGCCCACAAGCCGGCGGCGGCCCCATACATGACGGCCCGGTCGTCGCTGATGTTGTCGTGGCAGCAGGTGGCGGCGCAGCAATCGCTTGTGGGACCTGCCCTTTTCCGGATCCTTGACCCCCCACTTGTAAATTTCGCTGCTTCCTCTGGGCCTTGGTTAGGATCAGGGAGCCTGTCTCTTCTCCGCCATAGTCCTCGCGCCTAGCCTCCTCTTCCACTGCCCCCGACGCCCAGCCTTGGGTCACTGTCACTCCCCTCTTTTGCACTTCTGCCTCATTATCATACCCCAACGCTGCCAATACGTCCGTGACGATCCTCTTCACCCCTGGGGTCCCGGACGCGGTGGCATCCCTTTCCTTTCTCTTGCGCCTAGCCGCACCTAGTGTTGTTCCACCTGGTCCAGGCTCCCCTCTTCCACCCCTTTGTCGATAGTGGCCCAGGTGAGTTTCTCACTTCCCCCTCCGTGACCCGTCAGCTCCGAGGCCTCCGAGCCAGTAAGCACACCCAAGAATATGGCACACTGCGTTTCTTCGGAGATCCCGTGCACCTTCCGCGCCTTCTTTTTAAACTCGTGCACAAACACCCCAATCGTGGAGAAGTCCTCCTTGTTCATGGCCTCCAAATCCGCCATGGTTAGCAAGCCATCCCCCAACCTGTACTTTCTCTGCATCATGTCCTTGAACCTCGCCCAACTACCATTGGCGGCATCCACGACCTTGCCCTTTTCCTGATGGTGGCTATGAAGGACATATCTTAGGACTCGCTGGAGCTTGACCTCGTCCGACAGCCCCACCAATGCTTGCTCCGTCAGGTCCAGCCAGTCAGACACCCGTTCTCTCTTGAAGTGAAAAGTATCAACCTTCGGGACATTGCTCGGCGCTCTCTCGCGCTTATCCAGTGCATCAATGAGGTCGTCGAGCATTACAAGCTTTTTCCCACCATCCGCCATCTCCTCAGGCATTTTGATTAACTGTCATCGGCTTCAATCCCCTTGTTATAAGAAGCGATAGGACGAAAGGTTCCACTCAACAGTCCATTCCTTCACGATCCTATCGGACCGACCCCCTAAGCACCCAACGCTCTGGACCTGGCAGACATCTCTCTCTCTACTTCCTACCTCCCTTGGGTTCACCTAAGTAAGACCCATTCTCATCACATAATTCACTCACATACTCACCTCGTTCATGTCATCAGCCAAACCACCAGTCAGATCAACATTCACACCCACACAGCCATATAGACTACTATACGATCCATCTCACAGTTCTTCTCTTGTTTGCTCACGTGCCTAGCTCTTTCTCATTCTCATACCCGGATGTCGTTCCACCAGGGACAACGGTAGGCTTCCTTCATCCCCGGCAACGGCGCCACCTGTTGGGCGCATCGGTCCGGCACCACACGTAGCAGCGCGGGACCCTCTCGGCCGCGTCACGTAGGAGTTAGACCAACCTTGCCGCGAACACACAAATGGAGCTTCCTTAGGCCGCTCCGGCTGAGTGCGCCAGCTATACCTCTCGCGAGCCCCTACGACAGGATAAGGCCTACGCAAGGCACAACTTACCTTCACCTTACAGGAGTTGTCACCTCCCTTCGGTGGGCTTATCCCCGTCGAGCTACCAGTCCACAGAACGAAAGCTACTCGGTTGCAATTGCAGAGGTGGACCAGCCGAGGGCGTTTCTCGTTCGCTGTAGCATAGGAGGTACGCGCGGTAATATGCTTGCCGGGCCCGCATGCAAACCGACATCTTGGGGGGCTGAGTCCCAAGCGCAGCTCGTCGTCGGTCGACTAGGACGCATCCCACACACCACGCGCACACCACTTTACGAACACAAAAATAAAGCACACACACACGCACATACAACACGACAGAACACACAACGCGACAACGCTCCTAGCCCCTCGGTAGCCAACCCATAACCTTCCGATGCGGAAATCGAATAGGCGTCGCGCGCGAGACTTAATATAAAACTGCGCGGACACAGGGCTAACTCATATCGACTCGCAATGCAAATATACGTAAGCAGTCGCAATGATGGCGTACTATGTAGTGCCCATAATCGTGCGGTCCTCGTTAATCTCGAGGGTCGCATTCGACACTCAAGTGTCGGTTGACACGCGCCTTGAGGGTTAATCTCTCGACGCTGGACAACCGCCATGCGCGGTTGAACACCACACCCTCTTCTGCACCCTGTGTAGAGGGGTTGCGTAGACAGCTTTAAGCTGTTGTGGCGGTCAAACATCAAGGGGTTTGACTTTGACGGCTGCCACGGACCACAACGTCCAACCATAAAAACTCTAAAAANACGGCTGCCACGGACCACAACGTCCAACCATAAAAACTCTAAAAAGCAGACGAATGGGCCGAGGGCCCCCCTCTTATTCCAGCCAGGGTCATGATCTTTTGGGGGTACCCTCCCTCTCTTTGGGTGATGCCCACGGCCTAGAGTGACCTCAGCGTTTGCGTCTACGTGCGAGCCTCTTGATCCCATAACCTCTGGGCGTTGGGGCGGCGAGGCCTCGCACGCAGGATTTTTACATAAGGTTGCGCGGCTGCTAGCCAGTCCCATGCCGACCAACGATGCCAGTCGTATGTGGTAATCGCGGCCCCGGCCTCGCGAACCCCCACAGTAAATACACCCAAGCATACACACATAGGGGAGATAAAGTTGCGACGATCACTGCTCATAGGCACTGTGGGACTTCTTACAGCCATAAGTACATTTATGAGATCGCAGGCAACCCCAAATCCAAATCCGAGCCACAAGGTCTACCTGCAATCACATCAAAGAATCGAGCAGCAACCACACGCTACACGGAGTCAACCCCAACCAATCTCCACACTCATACCCCTTGCTTTAACCATGCAAGCCCCAATCACCCGCTCAATCAACCATAATAAAATACTCAGTACCTTTGTTAAATGGCCATTCAATAAAAGTCCGGGTGAAACCCTCAACAAACAATCAAGTCACCAGGGCTAAAGCCTTTTAGGTTGGGTGTGAAGAATGAGTTGGAATTGAGTCGTAGACCGACGAATCGGCAAACGACCTGTTATCAATAATAACAGAAGGTGATCCTTGTAGGATCAAGCTGACACTAGCCCAAGTCCTGAATCGAATGTCCAAGAAAAGCCTGTACCATGAGACAGGTCAAGGCCCAAACTAAAACATCAGCCTTTGGGGATGAATCTCCATAGTACATCCTCACTCATAGCTATGTGCCAACTAAGTCTAAGCCTACCTTTACGCCAGTGCCCAAAGTAAAGGTAGACTAATGGCAGAATCTCCCCTATTCAGGGTGGATTGCCAGAATCGTCACTTGTCAAAATATAATCGAATTCCTCTAAATCAAGAAAATTYCGGCAGCGCTTMCCGTAGGAAAAGTGGYTTTCCAGAATTTATATCAGCCCGAATATGAAAACAGAAATAGCCTTTGAGTTTCCAAAGTCCAATTTTGTCCAACTCCCTGAATTAGCAAAAATTTGGGCAGCACTCCYTTTAGAAAAGRAGACCTTCCAGATTTTTACCAAGCYAAGTATGAACTTTAAACASGTTGAACTTTGAAGCCAAAATTTGAMTAACTCCTTGGATTTGTAAAAATTTTAGCAGCGYTTCCCGTMGGGAAAGTARCTTACCAAAATTTATACAAGGCCAAGTATACCAAAAGATCCCAGAAAATGCGAGAATTGATCTAAGTAAAAAAACTTAGCTTAGAAAATGCAGGAATTGAGACTAACTCCTATCGCTCTAGCACGAGGCGAGCTTCTAGAGCAACTACCTGTCAAACTGAAACTCAGACCAAGTAGTAGCCCCACTCAGTCACATRCARGMCAGACCACCAAGGTAAGTACTCTCGCCACCCCAAGTCAAACTTTGCAATCAATAGTTCGTATTCTCTCGATGCTTTATCCCCTTATACCCAGCTTACATAAGGCATAAAGTCARGCCATCCAATYTTATGGAACCTGCTTGACTYAGCCATTGAGTATACACGAACAGGTGACACAACTACTTCTCTCTTCCCTTTGGGCACATGACTAAGCCGTTCATCTTAGAACAAGGCTCAGTCGCCCCGAAYTRTTTAATATCCAAATTATATATACCTCTCTAAGCTTGGTGTTCAAAAACTAGGCATAGGACTGAGCCGTTCRTCTTAGAACAAGGCCCAGCCTGCCCAAGGTTACCTTCAATTATACTCTTAGTTATACTCTCTTCATTTCATGATAAGCTATAGACAGATCGTCCAATCTTATGGAACCCATGCCTGACTAGCCTGTTCATAAATAGGATAGTATAAAATATAGCCAAAATTTAACCTTTTGGGTTCCASCATGTGCGAGGCATTGGGCCAGACCRTCCAATCTTATGGAACACATCTGGTCCTTTGCCASGTTCGTTTYTCTCTGATCCACTGTGTGCGGCATGAGTCCAAGGYCGTCCAATCTTAWGGACATGCCCTGTCCTCAACGAAGATATAGTCCCTCAGAATGAAACAGGAAGGGGTTGAGCCGTCCAATCTTATGGACTTGCTCAGACCTCCTCGACCAAAAACAAAAGAAACAGAACAAACCCCAACCAAACATGGCAACCAAACCCTCCAATCTTATGGTACAGGTTCGGTCCCTAAAAAGTCAGCCACAGTCAAACCCTCACAATTCAAAGCAATCAGACCGTCCAATCTTATGAAACTGGTCTGACTCTCCATGCAATTCAAAAATAAACACAGCGGTCAGGCCGTCCAATCTTATGGAACTGGTCTGACCCCATAGCACCCTGTCAAGCTCGAGCAAAACCACCTTTCAGCCACCCTTCCCCCAGATGCAACCCCCTTTTTATGAGCAAGTCTGCTTTCAGGCAATCAACAAAACTGAAACTGCGATTACACACACATTCCTTTACTTAGTCTGACTTATGTCCTGTCAGTCAAACCAAAGTCAAAATAGGGGTGCATACSGTATGCTCAGTCAAYGTAACAGGATGYACAAATCGGGGTTATACCARGGGGTATAGGGGGGAAGCAAAAGGTTACCTTTCAGTTCCCTGCCTCCATAGCCTCGCCTAGGCTCCGGCAGAGCTCCCGCAATCGGTGGGGCGAACCTCCCACAGAGGCCTTGGCGCGGATTACGGGTTGCAATCCCRYCTGCCGCCTTCCTCTCAGAACCAAATAGACTAGAYTTAGAGTAAGAAAGGCAGACAAAGATGAYTTTTAGCCTTTCAGATCSAAGAAGGGTGCTCACAAACTCGCGGGAGAKGGCCCCGGTACCTTCAGTCACCTGTGGGCCTCGCAATGGCGTCCAAACAGCACGAAGCAACTTGGTCTGACCGGAAGTCACCTGTCGAAGTCGACTCTCTAACGACCTTCCCGAACTGCAGCCACGACCCCCTCCACCACCAAGTAGGCATATAGCATTTGTCCTCCAATCTCGTGTGCCTAGGGGCCGTTGCTCAACCACATGCGCGGTCTGTAGTCTGCGGTCCCCACAGTTGGCCCGACTGCTCCTCACTTTTCCTCGTGCTTCTCCCTTGTTTCTCCAATGCAGATAGTCAACGGTCCCGACCAGGTAAGTGTTGCCACCGCTCACCCCTCGCTAGCTCGGCTGACACGCTGCGCAGTGTAGCGGCCAACCTGTAAGTCTCCACCCCCGCGGTACTAACATGCACAGCTTGCGAAGCCTGGCCCCGTAAGCTGCGGGCGACTCCTCCCCTTGAGATCAACTTCAACAGTAGGACTCGAACAGACCACAGACCTAGCTCCCCCCCCGTAAATACAGGTTCACAGGTAGGCTCTCCAATCTTGCCTGGTCGCCCCCCCCCCAGCAAGCTGCTACAGGAGCTACGAGCGACGTTGAATGAACCTCCTGCCGAGACAGGGCCGGATATATCCGGTGGGTGAGTCCCTTCCCAACGCCCCCTCCCCTTCTCGACTTCTCCCCGTACTCCTGCCGAACAACTCTCTCTCTCTCTCTCTCTCTCTCTCTCTCTCTCTCTCTCTCTCTCTCTCTCTCTCTGAGCACAGCGGGGCCGGCCCCGCGCCTCTTTC